CACAAATTGATTGAAAGAAGGTTCAGGCTTGGTATAAGGAGGCATTACTTTATGGTTAAGGCTGTCAGGCTCTGGAATTGAGTCCCAAGGGAAGTAGTGCTCTCCCCTACTTTGGGGGTCTTCAAGAGGAGGTTGGATAAATATCTGGCTAGGGTATTATGATCCCAGCACTTGTTCCTGCCCAGGGCAGGGGGTCGGACTTGAAGATCTCTTCAGGTCCCTTACAACCCTAGAAACTATGAAACTATGATACTACCATAGGGAGTTATAACAGTAGAATGCTGGCACTTCTGATGAGTACAACTATTCCTTGCTGTAATAGAAATGTAGAAATTGTTAAACATATGTATGAATTTTCAGCATGCTAAAAAGTATACAGGTTTCCCTCAATTTATGCACCTTCTGTATGGGCATTCATGCCAGATAACAGGGATTTGAACTGAAAAATGGGTGTAGAGCAGTAAAAACTGAGTGATTTAAAAAAACATGGGATTTGTCAGTGTAAACCAGTAAAAGCTCAGAATGAGGAACATTAGTTATCTCTAAGCAGCCCTCACACAGTATAAGTGTTCAACGGCTAGTTATGTTTTACTTCCCATTTCATATTTCCTGTACAAAAATATTTGACATGTGAAGAGTTTCAAGTACAGCAAAACATAATTCCTGCTTTCTTAAATTCTTTAACATGGACACAAAAAACCTGTAGTCTTCTAATGCTGAAAGATGAAAAATAAACTAAGAAGAAATGTTATTGCTTAAGGGCACCAAAGGTTTCACACAACATTGTTGTAAATACCTGAATAACATATAATTATAGTTTTCTTCACTTGTCAGATTCCGATGGAACAACAGAAATTCATATGTGAGCATGCAGTGTCTCAAACAACCAGAAAATCGCATAAAGATCCCACTGCATTACATTTAGACCCCTGCACAGTACTCTGGTAGCGTACAAAGGCCAGTATGTAAGAATTTATTTCCATTTCAGATGCCATTACTCTGCAAGAATGGCATAACATGGAAACAGTAAATCCCATCTGGTCCTAAACCCCATTAACAAGTTACAAATTGATTACCAGAAACCTTTATCTTTTATGAACCTCCTATTCTTTTAATATTAATTTAATATTAATTTAATATGTAATTATAATCTACAATTTCCATATTAATTAATAAGAAGTAATAAAAAGGATTTTTGTCTTTCCTTACCCATCACATTTATCACCACAAATTAGAGTCTATCATAATTTTGTATTTATATCACCAAGAAATGTATATCTTTGAAATGTAATCTTTCTAGCACAATATCAGATACACATCCAAAAGTAACACTCTCTCTGTTGTTCCCAAAACATTTCCTCCACAGAGTATGACACTTTGTAGGGCCTCATCATATATTTTCAGTATGCTTCATACTCACAAGTAAGGGATCCCAGATGCTCTCCAACTTAGCACTTTAAAGTACTGGCATCTGAAATAAAATATTGCCAAGGCATTTAATAATTTTTCAAATCATAATGATACAATACTATATAACTACTGAAGAGCAAACATATGACCAAACTTCTTCCTCTATATGAGAAGAAATCTGGCAGAAGAGTTCTGCTTTTGAAAAGAGTAACTTTTGAAAAGGTCTGAACAAGTCATCAGACTCCCTGGATATTACAGGTATAGTTTCTTTGTTTTAGCTCAATTTGATCCTGAAATCACAGGGCTTGAACACAGAGCAAAACTCATGTCCTACTGTGTTTCCAATCTACCACAGAGCTTTTACTTATGATAAAATATACTAACTGATAAGTATTCCAAAGCTAATGTACTCTAATCCATGTCCACAATGAACAACATCCCTTGGAAGTAGACCTTTAAACAAGTCATTATGTTGTTGCTATTTCAATTGCCAAGGTTTTTAATGAACCAATGGCAGCTCAGTGATAACAATTAAATGAGATAAAATTAAAACATGCACTGTTTAAAAAAGCAATGGCACTATTGATAAGAGAGATTTAATCTGTGTTATCTAATCAGTCTTCTGACTGGCATTTACTTCCCTTCAAGTTCAAAATTGGTATTGAATGCACATTGGTAAAAGTGGGAAAATAGAAATCATGTAAGCAAACTGACTTAATGTCAACCTAATGAAACTGGAGAAAGCTATGCTTGAGGAAATTAGACTCTTTAAATGTCCTGTATAGGGAAAGGAGAGGCTTCCCAAAAGTTACTGGATGTTTCAGTAGCTGAACAAAAGGCCAATTAAAGTGTATATGCCAAAATGAAAGATAATCTAATATGCACAGCACATTTGTCACACTAAGCAATTCCATATCAAGAAAAAGGATAAATGTAACCCTCAAAAATATAATGGATATTATAGCAATTCTTTGAAACACTAAGAAAGGGGGCTAGATCACTAGCTGGTGAAAAATGCAATATCCACCTAACATCTAGGGAACAAAAAACAGTTATACAGTTGTGGAGACCAGAACCAAAGAAATTAATAAGCAATAAATATGTGCTTCTTAGAGCCATTTGGAATTTTTGTTTAATATAAAGCTTGTATTTTTGTAACCCACAAATGTAACTTGTAACTGTTTGTGGAACTGACTAGGCCTCAAAGACAAAGCTATAGTTGTAAAATTAGCTGACCTGACGGTTTTTTCTTGCTCAGAATTTAGCCTTGATGATGATAAAAACTGAATTCAACTGCCTAGCCTATCCAGAACATTCCAGGAAAGCACATCTCAAAAAAGCATAGTCAGAGAGTTCTAAAGGGGTTAGATTTAGACAGAGTAATGTTAATTTCAAACCTGAAGATGCTGCGTCGTAATTTGCTTATTGGATAAACCCAACTCTGGGTAGTAACCTTTTATAATAATTTTTAACACCTTTTAATTCCATAGGGTAATAGCTATAGAACAACATTATGAGTGGCTCTAAAGCCAACAGATTAGCATAAGACTAGGTATAAAAAGCACATGCATCAGGTGACCAGTAGGAAGGAGGGAACAGAACAGTCACTGCTGTTCCACGCCCAGACCCCGGACTCCCAGTGTGAGAGAGGATCAGATCCTGATCAAGGGACCTTCCCCGGTAATCCCTTGGACAGCATTGATTGGGGATGCCTGACTTCGCTGGAATCACCTGGCACGCACCTGGCATTGAGGGACTATCGATAAGTTGCCAACCCATGTCTGTCTATTTGTTGTTTTAAACAGACAGTGGCTGATACTCTCGCAGTGCTCAGCTGGACTGCAACAGATTGATCTATTTATCTGTTGTTATTATCTATTGTTATTATTTACTATTAGCTCTTTAATACTGCATTATCTGCGTATCTGTGTGTAAGCTATAATAAACTTGCTATTGCTTTACTCTCAACTCTGCCTCCTGGATCCTGAACCAAACAGCCTAGTGGCTAAATTGATATACTCATAGTGCCCAGCTGGCCTGTGACATACAAGATTACCTTTGTAAAGGGCCAGAGAGCTAAGATTCTATAAGGAAATGCATTAACTAAACCTCACTAGATTTACAGAGATGAGAGTCTATAGTCCTAATAGCAAAACAAATTTGAATAATGGCTAAGTGATTTATATGGTCTGTCTGTCTGGAGCTCATAGCTTTCTCCCAACCACTCTCTTTTGTACTAGGTATCAGTGGGCACATCTAAATATGTAATTAATGTGAAGCAATAAACTCTGGGGTTTTTGCTCCCACATTTATTGATCCCAGACACACTGTTTAAATGTGCGCCTGGCACATTGAGCTGGGTTGGAGCAGTCCCTGCTGGGAGGGATCTCGGGGGATCAGACTGCCGGCACGGAGCTGTTACCCTCCCTGGCTCAACATGGTGCAGAGGGTCTGGCTGGGGTACAAGGGTGTTTCAGTGTGAGGCTAGCTGGCGGACAGCCTCCACACTGAAGCACCCTCATGCCCCAGCAAGCCAGAGTAGTGTCTCCATGTGCATTGCCACAGAGAAAAAAACTCCACAAGTACTATCCTGCTGTGGAGTTAATTAGTTTACTCCAGCATAATAGCCTTGCACATGTAGACATACAACATTTATTGCAGAGCTAATTAGACTACTCCACAGTAAAGTTCTCATGTAGACACGCTCAGTCTTCCCTGAAAAATGATGGTCCCTGAAGGCAGGTCTTCATGTTCTATATTATTGCTGGTACACTGATTTTTTTCTTTCTGAGATAACATCTCACACCAGGTGTTAGCTACTATTTGCTCTTCACTATATTTCTAATAGGATGAGTGAAGAAAAGTTGAATGATTCTATACTATGTTTATTTGACTAATGTACAAGTGCAAAACGAGAAAACCCTTTTGCACCTTTGAGCTGTTCACATTTCTGGTTTCAGGAGACCTAGATATATGTTTCAGTGCATCAGACAAGTGTTACAGGTTCTTGCTTTTTTCTTGTCTTTTGCTGCCTACTGAATGTTTCTTTTTCTATTTTTTTAATTTTAAGTAGTAATCATTTTAGCAGCTTGTATTTTCCTGGTCATAAGTTCACAGGAAAAGTGATGGACAATCCTTTGGGTTTTTATTTCAACTCCTGATCCCTTTCCCTTCCAAGCCTGTAGGAAATGATGCAGAAAGGAGAGTTTTAAAACTTAGGATGTGAGGTGAAAGACTTGAAATCTCTAATCTTCAGGGTAAAATGAACTATTATTATATAAGGTGAAAATTGATGACGTTTACTTTACCTATTTAAGCTTTCTGTCTTTGTATAATGGCAAAAACAAACATACAAAACAGTATTATGACTGTTTATTGTCAATGTAAGAATTAAGGAGTTTTCATAGAAATTATTACACCAATATTGCATCAATAAAGTACATGCAAATTCTGTTATATTATTGTTATTACTTAATGTATAAACAAAATATAGTACTAATACAGAAAAATTTACAAGTACTTTATCAATGCAATATTGGCCTTCTGTGCCTTCCTGGACTGTTCACAACTGCAACTCCTTTTTGATGCACTCAGCACTCTCTTTGGCAGGCTGGACTTGGATTTATCTGAGACTGGGTGTGTCTACAAGTGCATTAATGCACTTTATTTAATGCACATTAAATGTAGTACCTCCATTGTGAGGTACTAGGAAAATGCACATTAGCCTGTCTTAATGAGCATTCAATAAAGAGCACTTTTTAGCTTTTTTAAATGTGCATTAACCAAATAACATGGATTTTTTTAGTAATGCTTTAATGTTCATTAAAATAGGCTAATGCACATTAAAGCACATGTGTAGACATGTCCACTACTATGTACATCTTCTATTTCCTGTACCATGCAGGCAAGGACAGCATGATCTGCCTGGTCAATTTCCTGCTGGACCAGGCCAAGATGGAAAGAAAAGCCAAAGAAACTGGTTCTCAGAGAATGGTTGTGATGATGCACTCCAACTCATCTGCTTCCTAGTACAGGTACATGTAACATTTGAATTTGTACATTTTGCCTTGCAAGAAAAAGTGGACCAGTTTGTGTTGTGCTGGGCCATCCAGGGGGCCCTCTGCAAGGTGAAAGACAGATAGTTGGTCCTAAATGTGTAACCCCACGAGGAGCAAGGGGGGATGGGTTTTTTTGTTTTGCTGACACATGTTTTTTTTCTTGGCCCCTTAGAGGACCACACACCTTTGCACATTCATCACTTGTTTTTAATAGTTGTATATTAAATGCTTTAAAATCAAGAAGTTGAAAGAGTGAGAGAGAGGTATGATGCAGTGTAATACTCTGTACAACTTGTACCATGTAACACATAAATATTTGTCCTGCTCTATACATTACAGGTGTTGCACAATTACCTGGTTAATTGTGCAGTTACCTTGAGACCAGTTCCACATGCAAAGTACCTATCACCATAAAAAGTTCCAACCAGCTATAAGGTTATGTACTGACCTAAAAATGTGTACTAACTTTATATCTGGTTGCTCTCCAGCTTTAATTTGCATGTGTAGCGGGATCTCACCTGCAGGGTCTCCCAACCCTGTAACTGAGGAGACTCTCAGCCCCAGCATCTGTGGATGCTGAGTTCCCACAGTGTGCCTCCTGGTGCCAGGACTCAGCTGGGTCCCGGTAGGTGTAGGGTGCCCCAGACCTGGGAGTGCTTGGAGCCTCCCGGCGCTGAGAGTCACAGCCACTGCAATCTCCCAGCCTGAGGGATACATGCAACCCTGGTGGCTAGGAAATTATGGGAGCTGCAGCTCCCAGCTCTGGAAAGGTATGTTGAGCATCCCCACAACTGGGAGCCCCTCAGCTGAGGGGCCTCCCAGCTGTACAAGCTTGTTTCTTGTTAGTAGAGGGGGAGCCTGATTCCATGCTCTTCCTACACCAGCAATAAGGTGCAATGGCATTTGATGCACAATCCCACAATCCTGCCCCCTGCCATACCACACATACACAGCAGGAGGCACAATTATGTGGATCACACATTAGATTTCAATGTGCCTTTACTTGCACATGTAAAGGGGCCCTTTATGTTGGAGTGTCACTGAGTCCTTAGCTCAGGAATATATCCCTGTTAAGGACAAGCATCTAAGAACCTGCTGAATGTTTAATACATAATTTATTCCTACTGTGATTTAAGTACCTGGGGTCAGATTCCATTCTATGTATTATGTAAATAAGTAGACTTAGGTGCCTAAGTGCAATTCTGTTCTGTCCTGTTAGAGTCCCTGAAAATAGTTAACACAAAAGGTAGATGGGTTCCCTACTCCTCCTCCTCACTGTTTTTTTTGTGACCTAATCTTAAGCTTAAAGTGGCAATGTTTTACAAAAGTGGATATACACAATGTAGCAATGTGCTACATCATCATACGGTATGCTATGGTGATGCAGTGATCATACATGTCTACACATGATCACCAGCTATGTCACTGTAGTGTCCTTGGGTATAGTGCAATGCTGCACCAATGTAGAGGTGAAATTTAACTGTGCATCACATGTACAGCGCACTAACTGTACGGTAAAAGGAAGTACTAACGCCTGGTGCTAAAGCAATGTCACCATATGGCAACGGATAGACACACCCCTTATGGATTTTCAAGACCTGAACATGGTTAAATACAATTGCATTTAGGCACCTAAATTTACTTAGATGCCTAATAGATGGAAGAGAATCTGGACTGTGGTTACGTTTTTTTCCCCTCTTGTATCAAGGCCTAAGATTGCTTGTGTTCTCGGAACAAGCCCCTATCATTCCACTACATTTAGTCAACTTCTGATGTTTGTAATTTTGTTCTTGCTCCTTTTTTTGATGTGCATTATTGGAATTTCTAAAGGCCTTGTGATACTGTGGAACACATTTCCCCCACTCATTTATTCATAAGTGTTTTTCAGGTACTGTGTTGGAGTTCTGATGCATCACACTAGGATCTCTTCAGTACAATCACTTTGGACCAGCCAGAAATTTTCACAGACCTCATGTCTTCAGCATACATCAATATTTGTGTTCAAACATAATGAGGTATGTGGCACAAAGAGACTTTCAAGTGACCACAGAATTATTCTGGCTGTATTCTAATGAAAATGGGCTATATCACCTTTTGAAATAAAGAGAAAACTATTCCAAACAGATGGTCTTGAGCACATGCAGCCAACATATTTTGTAAGAGCACAAACACATTTGTTTCAGACAATTTTCCTTCAGGAATATTAAAATCTCTATCTTCTACTTACATGCTTCTAGGGACAACTCTATCTCTGCACAGAATTAAAGTACTTTTGAAAACAACAGTGACAAAACACGTCACATGCCATCCACAACGCACAACTTTCTCTACCTCTGAAGTCAAGATTTAAGCTGTGCTGATTTAGGATTACTATTCAAAAGGAAAGAGAGCTTAAAACACTCCACAGCAAACAACTGCTCCTCCCTCCCCTTCCAAAGCAAAACCCATTATCTGTAAACATTTCAGTGCATCAATGCATTTAGATTCATTACAATTGTTCATATTGTATGTATTTTCAGGTAAATCAAAGATAGGTGTGAAAAAATTAGGAGTATCAACTGTTGCATGAATAATCATTCCTCAAAAACACTCAAGTCAAAAGCACACTTAATTTTTCATCCTCTTTTTTTGTGATATCACTTAAAGTATCAGTTATTCAATCAGAGAGCAGAAACAATACCACAGGGCTTAGGTGATCCACCACAGCAGGGGGAAAAAGATAGCAAATAGTAATATTTATTTTTGACAACATTTAGCAAACACAACTGAGGAAATGTCTTTGATACACACGGGTAACTATGGGCACTTTTACATGTGGTCTGGGGTGGTAAAGGCAGTGTTTTAATTAGAGTGGCTCTGAGACTTGCTCTAATTACAGCACCACAGCGTCTCATGTACCTTTGCCAGTACCATTACGACTGTTACTGGAACTAATAAATTAAAGCTGGCTCAAGTATGCGTACACATCCTGTTGTCACATCTCCCACTGCAGAGTGGAATAAGTAATACCTACCAAGAAACTCAAGAGCTATCCATTCCAAAAGAAAAGCTAAATTCATAAGAAATATTATTTATTGGACAAAAATAGACCCAACCCTGAAGGCCAGCACAATGCCCATGCATCACTTAAATCTAAGCAGGATTTGTGGAACTTAAACAGTATACAGACCTTGATCTAAGGTCAATTTTACTCATAATGTGAAATTCCACAAGGTTTACTGCTTACTAATACCCAGACTGCAAAAATGTACAAACACTTGTACATAAACAATCTTATCAGCTTATTCTGCTGCATTCTAAGAGCTTGCCACTATATTTCCCCATAATATTTCAGGCTTTCTTATTTATGCTTTAGATTTCTGCTAACCTCAGGTCTTGTGTAGTTTAAGGATTAACTTTGGATAAGATGGCCTTTAGAAAGAAATATTTACAACCAGTGGTAGGGCCTGTAGAGAGGAAAACAAAATGCAACTTTTCAGATTACCTTTAAAAACATGTGCAAGAAGTCAAAGGGGATAAAAACAGATTTAAGAAAAACCTGTTTTCTTCTCTCATGTTTCAGTTAGCAGTTCTAAATATCATCATGGGAGAAATCAATCTGCAGCAGCTGTGGACAACCTTTAGGGCTTTAACAGCTTAATTGGGGAAATGTTTTAAAAGTTAAAGGGCCAGAGTCATGTCAAGTACATGAAGTAAAACCCTGCTGACGGCTCCAAATGTATTCATTATAGTGAATTTCTTTTATGCCATCAATACAAGCAAAAAGCTCCATTTTGAAGCTGAATCTATTCCTGGATTTTGTTTCAGTTATAAATAGCATTTGAGGATATTTTAGAAACCAAAGATGCATATCATGCCATTTTAAAGGTTGCATTAGAATTTAAGAAGAATACTATTTCAATATATAGATGTACACATTTGGTGCTTAGAAGTACATTAACCAATGCTAATCTCTAACAGACACTGCAGGATATAAGAATTTGCAATAAGTTTGCTAATTTTGAATATTTTTTTATTTTTGCTTTTACATTTTTTAAATTCTAAAGTGAATGTAATGTTCATGAAAGGAAGCACCCTGAAGGTACTAGAAACTGATTTCCCTGTCATAGAGCAGGTACATGTGCAATACTTGCATCAATTTTCATTTAATCACAAGATTGCCTTGTATATTTATATTCTGCTGTCTAAGAAGGAAATTTTGACTTCAAGATTCAAAAGGCCCTTGATTCATCCTGCCTTTGCTAAAAAACAAAAGTAAACACCTAAAAAATTGCTGCAACCAAGATTCTCAATTCCTTCCTTTTTCCACTCCTTGGAAATTGCAGCATTATGCAGTTTATACTCCTCATAATCTCCTCTACCCACCACTATCCCAGACCAGCTGGCCAGCATATTGGAGAGAACAGGCAAAGCATTTTACATGCCTTCTACTGGTTTTGGCAACTAACTACAACAAAAAACTCTGGCTAAACAGAGGCATTCGAGAAGCCCAGAGCAGAAGCACTCTAACTCTCAAGTTTTACTCTGAACACCCAAGGCTGGGTCAGGAAGAAGCACAGCAAATGTTAGCCCTTGTGGGGGGAAGAGACATGGAGTGTGCCTGCACAGCCTGAATCCAGCAGGTATGTGTGGGGGGGG